AGATTATCTAGTTATCCTCTCTAAAGAAACTCATATGTCCTCATCACATCTCCATAGCTGAAAAGCACAATAGATCATTTAGTAAACTATATTCTATCAGTTATTAATCGTTAATTGTCGGATATAAGAGGGGAAAAACTTTTGCCATTTAGTAGGACATTGCAAAGTCTGATTATTTTATCCAAGATTTTTTTTTAAGTTAAAATTTCTCTCAAAAGAGTTTTTAGATAAGTCGTGAATTTGATAATCAAAACTATCAAAAGTGTTCACTTCCTTAACTKTTTAACCACAGAAATAGAAAACTTTATGTTTTTCTTCATTGCAGGTTAATATTTCGTTTATTGCTACTGATGCTAAAGGTGCTGTTGCTCTTCTAAGACCAGTATTCCATTTATGCGCCTGCCAAAATGGAGCAAAATGCGTCCAACAACTAGATGAAATCCAAACTCAAAGTGACAATCGCTTTGCAATCCTGTCGTGCGAGTGTAGAAGTGGATACGCAGGACACTATTGTGAAAATGATGTCGATGCTTGTCAAGTCAATTTAAATCCATGTTATCCTGGTGTTGTTTGCAAAGATCTTCCTGCTCCAGCAAATGAGAGTGGGTACGAGTGTGGACCCTGTCCATCTGGATTGACAGGGAAGGGTGACTCGTGCCAAGGTATTATTTGCGCCTCAATGGATATAATTGTCATAGTGTAGTGTGTAGTGAGTGCGCGCAATAATGCAATTCTTACAATAAAATAATTCGGTTTTGAACGGACTCTAGACATTGACCTTTAATGCAACATCTTCTTTTGCGCTTTGATCCCGTTGTGACGTCGTGACAAACTCTAAAACTTGAAATGGACATTTTTCAAAAGATGTATCGTGAACCTTTTTTCTGGTTTATTACGTAGGCTAACTGCGCTAGTAATTTTTACCTTTAAGAAATACATCAACAGTTCCAGTGTCGACGCCAAGTTTCTAATTTTAAGGGTTAATCTCGGAAGTGGTCTCTCGCTTCGTGAATCTGAAGAAAGGAGACTCTGTTTGCATAGGATTATTAATAAAAGTGAATATTCTATCTTATTTATTTCCTCAGATATTGATGAATGTCAAGGTGGCTTAAAGCGTTGTTCACAAAATTGCTACAACACCCCTGGGTCGTTTATTTGTGGTTGTGATAATGGGTACTCACTTCAAAATGATGGTTCCACTTGTCAGGGTATAATTCATGCAACAATTGGACTCAGATTATAAATATTTATTGATAACTCATTAAATAGGTTTGGAAATATGTCTTACATTAMTTATTTCAKTAAATTCTTCTTTCCAAATTTTCAGATATAAATGAATGTCAACCTTTAGCTGATTGCATGCAGAAGTGTGAAAATACGCCTGGAAGCTATCAATGYAGTTGCAACAGTGACTTCAAAGTGGACCTTTCTGATCCAAAAAAATGCATCCGTTAGTTGAGTTTTATTGGTATTTTTAATTGGATTTATTTTCTTTATGTGATATAAGATTTRTATATTTCTTTTTCTGCGTTTGTTTGTTTGTTTAGCTAAGTTTCCGTGCAAAGATGGAAGTCATGGTTGCCAAGATGTTTGCTTTGAGTCTAATGACGTAGCTACATGCGCATGTCGTATGGGATATCAGCTAAAGTCAGACAAAAAGTCATGCGAA